ATTAAATATTTGGTATCTGAATTTGTCACTTTTACAAATATAATACTTACATTTTGTTTTCTTTTAACTGACTTAATACCTAAAAATTTTCAGACATTACACCAATATCAAATGTGTAATGGCTGAAAAATATAAATATGAATGTATATATTAAAAATAAATTATTAATTTTTATATAATTTTAAAAATATTTGTTAAAAATTATTGTTTAAAATATTAAAAACAATAAAATTATAATTATAATTATAATTATAATTGACAGGCTCAATAAAATATTATCTATTAATTTAATGTATCACATCATTTCCGATAATTAATGATATGGTAATCATTCATAACTGAATCCACAGTTGCATGATCATTTTATTTCATTAATTTTATTTTAAAAATATAACAAGTTGCCATGGAATAGGTTTGGCAGCCCACTATTTTGATTCAGTTTTCTTTATTGACAAGTCGATATCTGAATATATTAATCCATATAATTTATATAATAATGAAAATAATAATATTCAATTTAAAAACAAATAATATATTTTTATTTGAAGTGGGTTGCCAACCTATCAAATTTTTCATGACAACTTGTTACATTATGGTTCTATATGAAGAATTGGAAGAATATTCGTTTTAAAAATAATAATTGGAATAATCAAAGGATTCTATGTGAGAAATATCTACGGATGGCTGTTGAATTTTCAAATTTAAATATACTAAAGGGATAAAAATTATAGTTTGACATAGTTTGTCTAATTATGATTTTCATATTAACATTTATTTGGTTTAATGACGAGATTGAGATTCCGAGAATTTCGAAATCTCATATTTGATCCCAACTATGTATAAATTATATGTTTTCTCTTTAAGCTTATTCTAATTAAATCCGTTATGTTTGATTGTTGTTTAAATTTATCATTTCATCATGTATGGCCGCTGATAAACCCATTGTTGTTTAAATTAACTATGAATTTTTTATTAAAATTTAAGGTCAATTTATAATTTTATTATGTTAAGTCGGGGTTAGATCAAGTTAAATTATATTGAAATTAAAAACGAATCGGGATCACATGTAAACTCTTAAATTTTAAGTTAAGATTAAAAAAAAACTCTTAAATTTTAAGTTAAGATTAAAAAAAACTCTTAAATTTTAAATTAAGATCAGAACGGCCAAAATATTATTGCATCTATTTGTCATCCCTAAAAATGATCTAATTCTCATTTGTATATATTTTCCCAAGATGTAAGTTCTCATTGTTGATAGTTTGAAGGTTGGAGAATGATGATTGAATGTGTAAAGTTGAACTAAAGATACTTATTTCTTAATTAAGTAGACAAGTTTGGAACATATGAATAGTTAGATGACTATTTTGTAACTTTTAATAGTTGAGTGACTCAACAAAGTAACACCATATAGTTGAAGTATCAGTTTGTAACTTTTAATAGTCGAGAGATTCAACAAAACAACATTATATAATCGGGACCATTTGTGTACTTTACCCTTAATTTTAATTAACCATTTAAACGTTGTTCTTCAAGAAGGGAAAAATAAATTAATGAATAAGAAAGGGACTATTGCATTGGATTATATGAAACTTTCTGGTGAAATAATACATGGGGGATTAGTTTAGTTAGAGACGGCTTAAATTACAGGAAGTCTTGACCAGGACGGAGTTATGTGTAATATTGGAGGGGTTATGATCTCTCAATTTTTTTAGATTTTAATTGTTTTGTAAGTTGTTTTAGTTTAAAATTAGATAAATTAAGTATTTTTTTCTCTTATTTTTTAGATTCAATTATTCTCTAGTCTTACTTCATTTTAATTAAATAGTAACTTTCAATTTTTTGGTACAATTATTTTTTAGATCCTCTTAATTTGAAACTAGGAAAATTAAACTTTGTTTATTATTTTCTTGATTTAAATACTTTTTAGGGATTAAATTCATAAATGAAACTTAGAAGAGTTGTTAAGCTTCGAGGCTAATGTAAATCAGAAAAAAAATGAATTAGGGACTAAATTAGATAACTTTACAAAGTTCAAGATTAAACCTTGATTTACCCCTTTCTTTTCAAAGCTAAAAGGATGGATAAGTGGTCAGCTGAGCTTATTTGGGGCCGGTTGACGTGTCAGACTGGGACCTATTCATAATCAAAGGCTTAGTCAGCATCCGATGGGCCTCTGTTGCATAGTTCAATGCTCAGTTAGAAAAGAACCAAATACAGTATCGTATGAGCGTTCATATACAGACAATAGCGACTTAAAACTTGTCCCTTCGAGAACATCCGATAAAATTGGAATTATACAGAGAACATGGCCCCTGCTCAAGGATGACACGCACAAATCGATAAATAATCCAAAGTTTTTCCCTTCCAAAATTTACAGCTCTTTTTCTTCTCAGTTTTTGCTTCAGAATTTGGATTTTTTTAATTATTTTTCTGGGTTTGGTTTGATGTTCATCTTCATGGGTTTCTTTCACTCCATACTGTAGTTTAGATATTTTCTGGGTTTGGTCTGGTTTTAACTCTCTCGAACAGTGATACCTCAATAGCCATCTATTCGCTTGCTTGCTTGCTTGCTTGCTTATTATTATTATTATTATTATTATTGTGCAAACTTTTCTGGGTTTGATGTTCATCTTCATGGGTTTTGTGTACTTAAGATTGCAACTTAGAGGTTTTGTTACTGGGTTTAGTCTGTTTATTTAATTAGATTTTGCTGCAATTAACATTTTAAGTAACCAGCGGATTCTTCAATTTCTAGAGTTAATTACAGAAGTTGTTGATTGGTTTATGCTTGCTGTTAAGTATGAAATTCTCATGCCCAACTATTCTGGCTTTCTGTAGGAATTTGACTTACCATTGATCTCATTTCACTCTGTAGATGAATCCTTTCATTCTTTCTAAAGCTTTTGTGTAGGAATTTAACTTACCATTGATCTCATTTCACTTTGTAGACGAATCCTTTCATTCTTTCCAAAGCTTTTGCAATTTGACCTACCGTTTTTTCTTTGAGGATAATCGAAGTGTTTTTAACAGGGTTTTAAGTTTGCAATGTGTTTATGCAATCCATTGATATCCTTGAATACTGCTATGGGTTTTCTCATATCTGTACTTTGGAAGTGATTCATTGAGGTTTTTGATCAAATTTCATGGTTTCTCAGCATGGAATTCTTGGGCAATGCTTGACAATCCAGGAAGCATTGGGTGGAATCTTTCATCATAACTTTCGCTCAAACACACTCCTACAGAGTAGGGTTAGAATGATCACACGACAAAACTTGCATTAGCCATTATCGATAGTGGATTGAACCGTCCAGACAGTTCCTGTTCTCAAAGAGTATCAAAGACCTAAATCATGTAGTTCTACCATGTGCTAAACGTTCATGTCAAAATCTGGACTAGAAACATGACAAATTAGCTTCACCTTAATCCTTATAAGGTTGTTCCAGTTTCTAAATGCAATAATCAACCCATTTTTTTACTCAAACCTAAACATTAGGGGCTGACATTTGGTTATGCAAGGTATGATGGATGAAGACAATGAGAAGCCGAAAGAGTCGAGAAATGAATACAGTGATGTTTCATTTGAGGCTGTCATAACTGCATTGATATTGATGTAAATGAACGGATATAATGAAAATGGAAGGTATGTAGTTCCTGAGGTTTGGCAGAACATAAAGGAGGAAGGAAAGCCACCACCATGAAAGAAATCATTGACTACATAATCATACAATTGAAGATTCCCAAGGTTAAACGAAAACGTTGCCTATGATTTTGCTTTGGCTATTTTCATGGTATGCTTACCTATCCATTACATTCATTGATGCTTCTCCCTTTACTGAGAACATTACTACAAAGTTATTGCAATGTCTAATATTTATCAAAGTGGTTGTTCATGCTCGAAAAAACAAGCTGTTGCTGTCAACTTCGTTTAAGAATCCTTTCAAGATCGACCCTGAAAACGACCGAGTAAATTATCTTTTCACAGTGCACTCATGTATCATATGTTCAACATTATTTGTTCCACCTTATGTAACAAAATCATTGACTACAAAATCATACAATTGAAGATTCATAAGGTTAAACGAAAACGTACCCTATGGTTTTGCTTTGGCTATTTTCACGGTATGCTTACATATCCATTACTTTCATTGATGCTTCTCTCTTTACAGAGAGCGTTACTACAAAGTTACTGCAATGTCTGATATTTATCAAACTGGTTGTTCATGCTCCAAAAAAAACAAGCATCATATTTTCTTCATTACTTGTTCCACCCTGAAAACAACCGGATCTGTTAACTTTACTTATGTGCACTCATGCATCATATGTTCATTATTTGTTCCACCTTATATAACGAAATCTGCACATTACTGGAGTTATCTTTCTTGTGGCAATGATACTTAAATGATGCTGAAACTAGAGTTATGTTTATTTTTCAACAAATCAGAGTGGCGCAGTGAAAGTGTGGTGGGCCCATAACCCATAGATCCCAGGATTGAAACCTGGCTCTGATATATCTGTTTCAGTATTCATTTTATCATTATAATATTTTTGTAGTTTTTTTTTCATGTTCATCTTCATGGGTTTGCTTTCACTTCAGATTGAAGTTTAGCGTGTTCTGTAGGTTTGATGTTCATAATCACGGGTCTTGTGCACCCAAGATTGCAGTTTGAGATTTTGTTTCTGGGTTCGGTCTGCTCTACTCTATGGAACAGTGAATACAGCAAAACCTGTTAATTGCAATTAGATTATGCTTTTTTATTTTGTTTATTTGAAGTAAACAAAGGATCCTTCAATATCTAGAAGTAAAATTGACGTATAAACAGTTTGTTTAATGGTTAAATCATAAGTTGTTTATTTTTGCTGTGAAGTATGTTTCAGTTTGTAGTCGAATCATTGGATTCTTTCTAAATTAGATTTGCAATTAAAACAATGTGATCTCACAAGAAACTCTATACATAGTGTTTGTATATTTACTTTAAGTGTTCTTTGACAGGTTTTTCAGTTTGCAATGTGTTTGCGCAATCAATTGATATCCCTTTTACCTTGGAAAGTATAAGGACTAAATAATCTGAATTTGCAATTTATATGTAATACAAGGACTAATAGCAGAAATTAACCAAAATGTAAGTCCATTACCGCCCTTTTTTGGTAGGTCTAATTCCCAATTTCCACTCCCACCATTTGTACTCTCTCTCTCTGATTTTGTCGCAAAACTCATATCTCCCCTCTGTTGGCATCGCTTCAACGCCTCAGGTAATCTTTCCTTCTCTTCTAATTCTTTCAACTATTATTATTTACTTCAAACTCTAATAGATCTATTGCTAAAATCATCTTAAATTTCAGTCCACATTGCTAAGCTTGCGCGGTTCTTAGTTTTTTATGTTTGATTTTAAAAATGTTAAAATTTTATGATAAAATTTCTAGTTAGTGGCAGGGAAGATGATTGGACATGCTCCAGTTGTGTGAATATCAATTTTCATTTAAGATTACTTGTACTCTATGCATAGTTGCACTCAACCTAGGCCAGCCAATAATAATTCTGCAAGTCTTTCTCTTATATCTCAATGTTCTCTATATTTCTTTCAAAAATATTTTGTTTATATATTTCTAGATATTAATCATTGTTTCTAAAATTAAGTTGGTAATTTTGTTTTTGTGTTTTTGCTCATTACCTCTTTCACTGTTCGAGGACATGAATGGGTAATCCAGAAATAGGTCAGACCAGTCTCAGGCAGTTCAAAATTTTAAACTAAATACAGAAACCAGAGAAACCAAAGCATAGACTAAATATTATGATTTAAAAATAATAGTTCACTGCTCAGTTAGAAACTAACCAAGGAAAAGAACTGTAGAGTATAAGCATTCATAGGGGACATTGCCTTCGTGAGCTTTTCCCTTTGGGGACATCTGATAAAATTGGAACGATACAGAGAAGATTAGCATGGCCCCTCTAACACGCACAAATAGAAATGGTCCAAGTTTTTTTCCCCTACTTTTACAGCTATGTTTCCTTCTCATTTTCGCTTCAGAATTTTTAGTTCTTTTTTTGTTTATCTTATCTTTCTGATCATGGTTTGATGTTCATCTTCATGGGGTTCTTTCACTTCAGACTGTAGATTAGAGCTTTTCTGGGCTTGATCTGTTTTAACTCTCTCCAACAGTGAATACCTCAATAGCCATCTGTTTGCTATCTGTATCAAAGACCTAAACCATGTTGTTCTACCATGTGCTAAACATGCATGTCAAAATCTGGACTAAATACATGAAAAATTAGCTTCACCTTATAAGGTTGTTCCAGTTTCTAAATGCAAGAATCAAGCCATTTTTTACTCACAAGTCACACCTAAACATTAAGGGTTGACATTTGGTTATTCTGGATATGATGGATGAAGACAACAAAATACTTGAGAAGTGAATACAGTGACGTTGCATTCGAGGCTGTCAGCACTGCATTGATGGAAATGAATGGATATAATGCAAATGGAAGGTATGCAGTCCCTGATTTTTGGCAGAACATAAAGAAGGAAAGTCACCACCATGAAAGAAATCATTGACTGCATAATCATACAATTGAAGATTCATAAGGATAAATGAAAACATACCCTATGGTTTTGCTTTGGCTATTTTCATCGTATGCTTATCTATCCATTACTTTCATTGATGTTTCTCTCTTTACAGAGAGCGTTACTACAAAGTTACTGCAGTGTCTGATATTTATCAAACTGGTTGTTCATGCTCGAAAAAAACAAGCATCATATATTCTTCATTACTTGTTCCACCCTGAAAATAACCGGATATGTTAACTTTACTTATGTGCACTCATGCATCATATGTTCTTCATTATTTGTTCCACCTTATATAACGGAATCTGCACATTACTGGAGTTCTCTTTCTTGTGGCAATGATACTTAAATGATGTTGAAACTAAAGCTATGTTTATTTATCAACAAATCAGAGTGGCGCAGCGGAAGCGTGGATGGTCCATAACCCACAAGTTCCAGGATTGAAATCTGACTCTGATATTTTAAGTTTGCACTTTCCTTTTCAATATTTTTCTTCTTCTTTTTTTCACTTCAGATTGCAGTTTAGAGTGTTTTCTGGGTTTGTTTATCTATTTGATTTTGCACATTTTTCTGGGTTTGATGTTCATCATCACGGGCCTTGTGCACCTAAGATTGCACTTTGAGTTTTTGTTTCTGGGTTCGGTCTGTTTACTCTCTGAAACAGTGAATACAGCAAATTCTTTTAATTCCCATTTGAGATTGATGTTATTGAATTAGCTTCTTCTTTTTTATTTTGTTATTTTATTATTTACATCAAACTCTAATAGATCTATTGCTAAAATCATTTTAAATCTCATTCGCCTTGCTAAGCTTGCCTCGTTCCTAGTTTTTATTTATTTATGTTCTAGTTTTTGGTTTTCGATTTTGAAAATGTTAAAAGTTTATGCTTAAATTTCTAGTTAGTGGCAGGGAGGATGATTGGACATGCTCTAGTTGTGTGAATATCAATTTTCATTTAGGACTACTTGAAATATTCACAGTTGCACTCAAACAATGCCAGCCGAAATCCAGTAAGTCTTGCTCTTATCTCCCAATGTTTCTCTATATTTCTTTCAAAAATATTTTCTTTATATAAGACTGCTCGATTTGTTTGTATATATTTCTAGGTATTAATCATTGCCTATAGGCTTCTCATTGTTTCTAAAATTAAGTTGGTATTTTTGTTTCTGTGTTGTTGCTCATTACCTCTTTCTCTGTTCGAGGACATGAATGGGTAATCCAGAAATAGGTCAGGCCAGTCTCAGGCAGTTCAAAATTTTAAACTAAATACAGAAACCAAAGCATAGACTAAACATTATGGTAACTGCAAGGAAGTTCTGTATCAAGTAACTTATGAACCAAAAAAGAAGTAAGCAGTAACTTTTGTTGAAAATTCTTTGATGTAAGAAGATTTAACGTTGTGGAGGAAAAGTAGTCGCAGTCTACGGCTCTACCATTAGGGTAAAAACTGGTTGCATTTTCATGTTGGAAATGAAAAAAAGAAGATTATATTATGAAGCATTTTCATGTAGGAATATGGAAAAAAGAAAAGCAATGTGTAAAGCTTATTCTGACAATATCAGAGCCAGGTTTCGATCCTGGGACCTGTGGGTTATGGGCCCACCACACTTCCGCTGCGCCACTCTGATTTGTTGACATACAATTGAACATTAATAATTTGTGGTTTTTAGTGTTATACTATGAGAAAAGTAGCAATATCAACTACCTTTTTTAGGAAAAAGTAGAATAGACAAAATTGTAGAACTGACAAACCATCCGAGTCAAAGAAACGCCCTCAGCAACATCAAATGAAAATGATGAGGTTTGTGGTTAAATGATTTTTCTTTGTTGTCTAGTTTGTTACTTGAAGCTATTGTTTTTGTAGACCTCATTGGTACGCATTAAGAATTCACTATGTTTTTTGTACCTCAAACTATTCACGTTAAAATAAAATCTTTGGCTGCCTCTCCTCTCTCTCACTCTTACTTTCAGTATGTGCAAGTTTTAAACTGCTATTGTATTTCCTGCATTACGGGAAACATATGTTTGCATGTCACTTATATTTTAGTTTATTTTGTCTTTCTTTCCATTGATTTGCTTTTGTCTACACTTCCATCAAGTACTACTAATCTAGGACACATTTGAGTGTTGAGAAGGTTCGGGGTTGTCGTCTAGCAATGCTCAGATTGGCCGAGTTGTGTGTCGACATATCGGCCTCACCCAAGGGTGAACCCTTGTTTGTTGAATTCTATGTGATACTAGAAATAGTTGACAAAGTGGCCGCACGTTATCTCAGCACATAACACTAGCATGTCCATGTGTATCGCTCCAGACAGTGGGCGAGGACTATAGGTTATAATTTGAACCTAGATTGATTCAACGGACTTTGTTTTCAGTGTTTTAACAGTAGCATATAGTGAATGAAAGCCTGACAATCGTCTTATGTATATCATTTCCTCATCCAGTCGTTACCCTATTATGTTTTAACCTTAGTTCAATAGTTAGGATAATTCCCAACTGTTGATAAAAAAAGGATTATTTTGTCCGATAGAGTTTTATCTTGCCAAATGATGAGTCGTATTTGTAGTCCAACAGTTAGCATAATTGCCTTCCAAGCAATAAATCCGGGTTTAACTCTTGGCAAAGCACATGATTAGTCATGTTCTAGTGGTGTGAATATCAATTTATATTTAGGACTACCTGCAATATGCGTAGTTGCACTCAACCAAGACCTGCCGATCATAATTCAGTAAATCTTGCACTTATCTCTCAATGTTCCTCTATGTTTCTTTCAAAAATATTTTGTTTGTATAAGATTTCCTTGTTTGTTTGTATATATTTCTAGATATTACTCATAGTCTATAGACTTCTCATTGTTTCTAAAATTATATTGGTAATTTTTCTCTTGCAGAAATCTGCTGCCAAGCCTCTGAGAATTATTAAGTTGATAATTTTGTTTGTGTTTTTGCTCATGACATAGCCTAAACAGGAATTTATTGTTGGTATTTTGAAGTACAGATCATTCAAAAATTTCACTTTTATCCAACAAGACAATTAACGGAGATACAATCGGTCAATGTCTGCAATTTTACATTAGTATTAAGGTACTTTTCTACTGATTTCGTTGAATGTAATATAGTATATATTCTTCCCTTGCTTTTGGAGGGTGCTACGAAAAGCGATGAAAAGCTTTTTCTAAAATATCAGAGCCAGGTTTCGATCCTGGGACCTGTGGGTTATGGGCCCACCACGCTTCCGCTGCGCCACTCTGATTTGATGATACGCATTATGTTAACTGCGATAAAGTTCTGTACCTAAGTAACTTATGAACCAAAAAAAAGTAAGCAATAACTGATTTCGTTGAAAATTCTTGCTGTAAGAAGATTTTCATTTTCTTTTTTATCGTGTTGGTGATTTAATGTTGTGATGGAAAAGTCATTTTCATATAGGAAATGAAAAAAGTATATCATAGAGCGTTATTATGTTGGAAAAGGAAAAAGGAAAAGCAATGTGCAAAGCCATCTCTATAAATATTAGAACCAAGTTTCAATAATGGGACTTGTGGGTTATGAGCCCACCATGCTTTGCGCCACTCTAATTTGTTGATATACAACTTAACATCAATTTTTTTTTTTTTGTTATTGTTATGTAAATTTTCAGAACAAACTATGAGAAAAGTATCAACATCAACTATCTTTTTAGGACAAAGTACAGCAGACAAAATTATGGAGCTGACAAACCATCAAAGAAACCCCCTCAGCAACGTCAAATGAAAATGATGAGGTTTGTGGTTAAATGCTTTTTCTTGTCCATCGAGTTTGTTACTTGAAGCTATTTTTTAAACCCCATTTGTACGCATTAAAAAATCACTAAGCTTTTTGTACTTCAAACTATCCACATTAAAAGAAAATTTTGGCTGTTGAGGAAGTCCAGGGTTGTCGTCTGGCAGTGCTCAAATTGACTGAGTTGTGTGTTAGATATAGTGGTTACTAATGCTTCCCAATAATCTATGTTTATAACCAACCTCCAACAAATGAAGTAACCTCTATTTGACAGTATTCTTTGGTCCTTCAAAACCCAGCAGTTCACCAGGAGCTGATAACTTACGGTAATAATTACTGGCTTGAGAATTCAATAATCAATAGTTATCTTTTATCCTTGAGGAGAGAATGCCTCAGTTAGTTAGGGGTTACATAGAGTAAGCGACCATTGCTGGTTAGGGCTACCTCTTCTCTCGCTCACTCTAACATTCAATATGTGTAGGTTTTAAACTACTTTTGTATTTCCTGCATTACGGTAAACACATGCTTGCGTACCACTTTTTATTTTAGTTTTTATTTTTTTTTTTCTTTCCATTGATTTGGTTGTCCACTCTTCCAATGAGTACTAGGAATCTAGGACATATCTGAGCGTTGAGAAGGTCTGGGGGTGTCGTAGCAGTGCTCAATATGGGTTGTGATTGTCAATTTTTGAATTAGGACTACCTGCAATACATAGGAGTTGCACTCATCCAAGGCCAGCTGATTATAATTTCAGTAAGTCCTGATATATACAAACCATATATGTTCCATTTTTATGTGCTGTAAATTTAGATTTTTAGGTGTTGTAAATTTGGCTCATAGGGTTTTGATATACTGATTGAATTTGTTTCCATACTATGGATAACCTAAGAGAATATACGTAGAAACGCTTGGTTTAGCATGTTTCTATATATTTGTATATTTATATTTTATTCTTACCTAAAATTATCAGATTTTTAGCTTTATATTTGTGAAAGCATAATAAAAATATGAAAGATTTTATAAGACAATTGAATTATACTGCAGGGATAAGCCCTCACTTTATCTTGATGTTTCTATTGAATGTAAGACAATCGGATGCAGTGGTAAGCTCACTTATTTAGAAGTTTATATTCAATTGAATTTCGAGGAAAAAAAAGACTACAAGAATGGTTTATATTCAGTTCATGCTTGCATCGGCAAATGATGCTAGTAATCCGGAGGACTATACATCATAATGTGAACCTGGATCAGTCCCATGGACTTTACTTGCAGTCTCTTAACAGTAGCATGTGGTGGATGAAACCCTGGCAATCCTCTTCTGTACCCTACATTATATCATTTACTCATCCAATTAGGTCTTAAGTCTTGACCATAATTCAATGGAAGATACCGCCTACTGTTGATAAAAAAACTTATATTGTCAGACAAGATTTTATATTACCAAATGAAGATTTGGGTTTGCAGTTCAATGGTTAGGATATTTGTCTTACAAGCTATAGACTTGGGTTTGACTTCTGGCCAACACATGAACTTGTTTATACCTGGTATATTATCTTTACAACTTTTTATTGGCTCGCTATAATGTGGTGTACAAGTGGTGGATTTTACATTTGATGAACATCATTAGAAAACTATTTGTGGATGAATTCTTCGTTTGTGGATTAACAACAGTTGCAGGAAGGACAAATGGATTTAGAATCGTTTGCAATGTAGAGAAAAGAAGGGAAAAAAAAAGCTAGAGAAGAATTGGCCAAATTATCAGAGAGCCAAGTTTCGATATAGGAACCTGTGGGTTATGAGCCCACCATGCTTCTGCTACGCCACTTTGATATGTTATTGTACAGTCAACCACCATGGTCATTTAACTCTAATCGTTGTTACTTAATGAGACATGATTGCGAATATCGTAGTCATACAATAACGGTTGCGGACAATACCGCTACTACTATATAGTGGACGTTATTTCAGTCATGGACTGCTATTTAAATCCTACTGCTTATTAAAGGTGCAGGGTTAGCATGAAATAAACATTACCTTTCTTGCTTCCATTTTCAATGAATAATCTTTTAACAGTGAAACAGGGAATTATTATTCCGGCAGTGCTTAATCTTTTGTGCGAATATCAATTATTGATTTCGGACTACTTTCAATATGTGTAGTTTCACTCAACCAGGCTAACTGGTCATGTCATTAAGCCTTGATATACAATAGTCACACATTGTTTAAAGTATTTTCTTATTATAGATGTTTTTTCATGTAAATATAAAGTTAAAATCTATTTATTTTGGATATGAATAGATTAACTTTATATTTACAAAAAATATAATCAAAACATGAAAGATTTTGTAAGTCAAGTGAGTTATATTTTTGTGGTAAGCCATGCATGATGCCTTGATGTTGCTCTTGAATGTAAAATAAATAAATGAATGTAGTTACACTTTTGTTAATCGAATTATCTTATTCACACCTTTCATTTTTCTTAAAATATATATGTTTGACACTCGTATTCGTCACTAGATACGGAGATATAATCTATAAAAATATAATCATACTCATATGAGATATTTATCTATATTTAACACCCACACTCATGTAACATGATTATAGGTATGCAAGTGCAATTAATGTCTTTGATTTCTGTCTTACACTAATCTATTTTAATAAATAATATTAAATAGTATTATTTTCTCAAATGATCAACAAACACCAGTGGTCTAGTGGTAGAATAGTACCCTGCCACGGTACAGACCCGGGTTCGATTCCCGGCTGGTGCAAATTTGAAGAAGCAAGACGATATTTGTGCTCGAGTGAAGTAATGGGTTCTTCATAAATCGCCTAAATCTCAGGCGACACATTAGCGCTTCCGAGCTTCAATAATTTTTTTATCATGTACCTTTGGTGTGCAGTTCCATAAAGAGCAAATCAATGATACTTTTCTGCCAATTTCAATAAAACATCTAATTTTATCAAAACTCTCCAAATCAATCTTTCCCAAATATTCAATCTTTAATGACTAAACCTTTCTCTCTTGTAGAAACCTGCAAATCCATGTCTGATTTGGATCCGGCCGAGGACGGATAAATGGGTGATAAAAGCCATGTCTCAATCCGGTGTCATCGGCACCTATAGCTATATGAAGCTCCATAGTATATTACAACAAGTAGTTTTTATGATGAACACAAAAGTCATCATTGAAATATCTTAGTCAGGTTCCGATCCTAGGACATGTGGGTTATGGGCTCATAACGCTTCCATCCGTTGCGCCACTCTGATGTGTTGTTATGCACTTGATCACTATAATTATTTAACGCTTATTGTTTTTGTTGGCTGTATATAACACTTTTCAGAATATTTGTATATAGAAAAATCTTTTTATTTAGAGAATAGGGTAGGATTCCTTGGACCCATTGTACTATGCAACTGCCCCCAGATATAGCCACCTGTAATACTTGATACTCCTTTATATAATCTTTGAAATATTGCCACCTTTCTTCTGTTCTTATTCAAGCAGTACAACAGAAAAAATTGGTGTCTGCATTTTAGGTCTTTTGAGAGGTAGAAGGAGAAAAAGAACAACCCATTTCTTACTCCAGGTTTCTTCTTGTTTATCTGTTTACATTTTGTTTAAGCCTCATGCAAAGTGAAAATTCTTGTTTTGTTTCTCTAGTATGCTATTTGTGGTTGTAGATATCAAATTTTCATTGATTTTAAAAACTAATAGTATTATGATTTGGGGTCTTGATTTGAATTAACCATTTTCAAACCCTGTAAAAGTCCCACCTTTGATCTCAATATATGAACTTTGAAACTTCAAGTTTTGATCTTTGAAATCTTTAAATGAAATGGTTTTGCTTTCTCGTTGTCTTGAAAGGGTAATCTAATCTAAAGCATTTGTTTGTTTGATTAATGATACTGGAGGCACTTAATCGTCCATCGGAATGGAGAAAAGGAACTTCGAGGAGGAGCTGAAGAAGGAGCGTCGGCTCGTTGGGAACCTCTTGTACGAGATCGAGTACCGGAAAAAACAGTTGTCGGAAATGGAACATAAACATAATGAGACAACTTCAACTCTCCGAGGACATATCGATTGCCTCATGGCGAACGTGAAATGTAGAGACTGTACTTTGCAGGACTGGAAGCTTCGCTATAATGGAAGCGTGAGACAACTGATGGATGAGAATGCTGCGTTGCGGGAAGGTACTCGAATCATTCGTTACAATGAATGACGGAGGGGATGTAAATGCTGAATTCAAACCTCGAATGTGCCTTCATATCTTGTATTACCGGATTAAGCATATTTGATGTGTTTGGAACCAGAATGTTTCTGTCCTATGAGGCTTCGAACTCGAAAGGAAGCATCCTTGACGGTTCCTTGCACTGACCTGTTGGTTCCACTCATTTAGATATATGCATACGTACACACACGTTGCAGATTACATTCTTTTAGTGTTTATTCTTCTGTAAATACTTGTTTTCTATCCAGAAATTCGAAAGGGAAATGAAGAAAACATTAGGCTGAAGTGTGAACCTAGGCTGCAAACCAAGGAACTCGAAGAGTGTAAAACTAAGAAAGTGTTGGAGGAAACATTCGAGGCATTGGAAGATCTTAAAAGCCGTTATAGTTGTCTCATGGTGAAACATCTACTAGCTAATCAAGAGCTCCAGGATGCTCGTAAAGAATCTATACAAGTATATCAGTGGTTTTCTTTTTTCGATCTCTCGTGTTTGGTTTCTTTCGGGCATAAAAATCCCTCTTTGATTGATTTTTTTTATGTGCAGGGTTTGAATGATATCTTGAATACAAAAACGACTCTTGGAATCAAAAGAATGGGAGATATCGATCAAAAGGCTTTCGAAGTTGCTTTCTCGCAAAAGCTCCCAAATGAAGATTGGCGAGAAACCTGTGCTACACTATGTTCATTGTGGCAACAGAATGTGCAGGATTCGGAATGGCACCCGTTTAAGATGATCGATACTGAAGGCAACTTGCAGGTATGGTGCATACACCCACTGTTGCTTTATGTTGTTGCTTTGGTACTTGGCATTAATTGAAATTATCGATAGGGGAAGCGATGGTCGGAATTTTTCAACATGACTTCCACTTGCACACACGCATACACGGTAGTGTTCGAATCGACCACCCGAAAATTTCAAACACTTGCATTAACGGGTGGTTCTACTCTTTTGTACATCTACCACACTGATATTCAAGGGTGGAATTTCTGCATTATGCAGGAAGTGATCGACGAAGATGACGAGAAGCTGAAAGAGTTGAGGAAAAAATACGGTGACACTGTGTTTGAGGCTGTTGGCGCCGCACTGATGGAAATGAACGAATACAATGCGAGCGGAAGGTATCCGGTCCCTGAGGTTTGGAACAGGAAGGAGGAAAGGAGAGCCACCATGAAAGAAATTGTCGAATACTTGATCAAGCAACTGAAGATTCATAAGGGTAAGGGAAAGCGAAAGCGTAGCAGTTCAACCATCTTCATGGTATAAGCTTACTTATCCATTACTGCTTCTATCATTACAAGCAAATTCGGTACCATATCTCCTTCAACTCGTCATTTTAAAACTATAAATGTATATAAATATATATATATATATATATATATTAATGAAATGATCATGAACTTGCTTTCGATATTATAGAAAAATGGTATTTGTCCCGGTTTCAAACCCGAACCTCATCAAGTGTGGGTTAACAGGGATGACAACTGTAGGGTTGAGTGTTTGGCTAACCGACTCGACTCGAGAAACATATCTCCTCCCTCCGAATCTGATCCAATCTCAGTCTAGGGAGGTCCCATCTAACTTGAGATAAAAACTCGCATCTGATTCAACCTGAAACACATATATTTGAGATAATAACTCTTTATTCGAGTTATATATATATATATATATATATATATATATATATATATCTTATTTGAACAAATAAAGATTAATTAAAAAATATAAAAAGAGAGATATTATAGCAATTATCCTTATATTAAAACTATTACAAAATTTGACCTGAACTAATTTTTTTTAAAAGTCAGAAAATTTGTCATCCTATTAGGTCGTAGGAATTTTTCGGAGGACTTACTATACAAAGATCAGTCTTATGGAGGTGACCTGATATACGGAGATCTGCCTTTGTAACACAACAATCTTGCCCTGTTTGTTGTAATAGAATCGTTTGCACATCTTTCTTCTTCTTTCTAGTTTTGAAATAATAATGCTGGAGTAAAGGGATGGACGCTTCCATAGGGTAAATCAATTTCTGAATCCATGAGATTGATCTTCAATTGAGAGATTTGTTAATAAACCAACACTGAAGTGCAGTATAAGAAGCCAACTCTGATATTATCACCTGTCTATTGGTTCAAGTTTTCTGACTTTGAAACTCATGCGGCTAATAATTGTAGGGACCCTACTTTGAAACTCATACTGCACCAAGTTTTCATGTTATATTTCATGTTTAACACTGTCATAAAAATTTCCTGTTACTGGGAAACCCAAGCTCTCGTTAAAGAAATGGTAGTAAACGATCTTTGCCACTTGAAGTAAACTTGGTGCAGCAGACATGACTTTGACCATTCTTAAGTTTTTTTACTCACTAAATAATTGTTTTAATCAAAGTATAAACCAAATGAACTAAGAGCATTCCACAACACTCATTGTTGACGCTCGTAATTAGTCAATAAAATAAGACAAATGATAGTGGGAGACTTCAAGTATAAACCAAACGAACTAAGAACTTTTTACAACACTCATTGTTGAGGTTCATAGTTAGTCAAAATAAGAAAATTCGAGTCCATCAATTAAGTAGCAATATTTAACGAAGTTATGCAGTAAACATGCAACCAGGTTGAATTATGTTTTTGAGCTGTTTATGATGCTAAGACAAAAAAAGATAGATTAATACAAACTACTCTGACAAATTATTGGTGGAAACCTGGAACAACTCCTTGTTTGTTTTCTTTTCTCAGAGCAGAATGTAAACAAAAGAGAACAGCATGCACTTTTCCAGACTTATACCTCTCAAGTTCATCCATAGGACACCTTAGATACCTGTAACTTATGAAACTGGGATTTATTTAAGCACCACATTTTATCGGAAAAGTAATGTAAATGCGACTTAAGTGACGAAGTGATCAAGCATTTCACTAAGATAAAAAGTTATTATAACCTGCTGATTCAGCAGCGTATGATGTTTGAATCCCTCAATGGAATCGAGTTGGACGAAGAAGCTTGTCCCTAACAGAACAAAGCTTGATAACAACATCACCCATGCCCATCCGCTCACTTGGTGATTCAGCAGAACAAGTGAGACCTATTTCAAATATCAAATTCAAGCATAGAAGACCATCATTTCCCAGGCTGTTTTCATTGGGAGTGATGTCTGCGGCTGTTACTCCTCTAACACTCTCTTGAAGAAGAATGGGATCTATAATCTCAATTATTCGATTGGGAAAAGCTCCTGCAACAAAACTGTGAAGACTTAAACCTTCTTTGAACATTTCATCAGTTGGCATTTTCCTTGTAAACATCTCTAGTAAAAGGATACCATAGCTGTACACATCGCCTTTAGTTGACAGCTCGCTTCCCATGCCATATTCTACAATTAATTCATCACAACTTACATATACAAATAATTTAAGAAGAAAATGCTCTAAATAATTGAAGAAGAAATGAATACAATGTAATTACCTGGTGGAGCATAACCAATAGTTCCTCTTAAGCCAATGGAACTTGACTGATTAGGGGGATGATTAAGATTATCTTCATAAAGTACTTTTGCTAAGCCAAAGTCACTTATGTGGCCAACCATTTCCTCATCGAGTAGAATATTGCTTGGCTTGAGGTCGCAGTGAATGATAGACGTTTCACAATGATGGTGCAGATATTCGAGTGCATGAGCTACATCTATGGCTATATCAACTCTTTGGAAGAAGTTCATGTTTCTCATCGTCTCTGGTTCATTCATGGTGATTGATGGATGCAGCCAGCCCTCCAAATTTCCGTTTTCCATGAACTCATAAACCAATGCTTTAAAATCATTGCCTTTGTAATCGACCCCCGAAACGGCTGTTAATACCTTGACAAGATTTCGATGTCGAATGTTCTTCAATGCCTCACATTCAGCCAAGAAACTCCTCGATGCTCCACGATTTAGAAGATTAAGCACCTTTAGTGCAATAGTTGCTCCAGTCTCATCAAGAATTCCTTTGTATACAGAACCGAAACTTCCCGAACCAACCAAATTTTGTGTGGCGAATCTATCAGTAGCCCTTAAGATGCTTTGGTATGATAATTGTAAAAGCGAATTTTCTACACATGTTGATGTTGGCGTTTGCGCTTTCTTCTTTCTAAACCAAAAGATGAGGAGACAAGTGAAAACCAAACCCACTCCCAAAGTCACACCAATAATTGCAATTTTTAACTTGCTTTTGGATGTTTTTGAGTCACGCCAATAGTTGATTTCTTGATGTCACAAGCACTTCCAAATTGATTAGATTTTCAATCGCATCCGGGACTCTACCCAATATTTTGTTATCTTCTATTACTAAATGCAAAAGGGATCTAGAAAAATTGGTAATGCATCCAGGTAATACTCCTCCAAAATTACTTCCGCTTATATATAGAAATTTTAGTTCAGTTTTATTGACTAAAGTGTAGAGAAAGTTCAAGTCGCCTTCTTTCCCATATCCCAAAGGGTTTAAGCCTAGGAGAAGTTTAGACATTTTATCCAAATTTTATAATGAAGGCACTCTTCCACTGAGTCTGTTATCATAAACTTGGAGTACATTCAAATTTGAGGCATTGGATATTGAAATTGGGATTTGTCCATTGATTTGGTTTCCACCTATTGAAAAGAACTCAACATTTGGCATAGAGATTTCTAAGTTAGAATGAAGAGTACCTTGAATCTTGTTATGACCAATATCAAAGTTTCTAACATTTGAGAGATTGAAAATTGCAGAAGGAAGCGTACCAGAAATTGCATTGTCTTCTAATAAGAAAAATGAAAGATTTGTTAGTTGTACAAGAGCTTCAGGTATAGTGCCAGTTAATCCATTCATCGCCAAATAAAGGTCCTCCATGGATGACAAGTTCCCCAACGAAGGTGGGATACTCCCTCTCAAACTGTTTTTCCAAAACTCAAGATTTTCAAGTTTGACAAGAGACCCAATGAAGCAGGTATTTCTCCTGTTAGTTGGTTTTTTCTCATATCAACCACTGTAAGCTTAGAACAAGCTGATAAATTGGAAGGAATTTCACCACTAATGGAGTTATTGGTGAGGTCTAATGTTTCCAGTCTTCTTAAACGTCCAATTTCTTGAGGAATCTCTTTGTAGAAGCTGTTTCCCACTAGACTCAACTCCCTAAGAAAGCTCAAGTTTCCAATGTAAGGTGTTAAGAATCCTGAGAGTTTGAGGAATTGCATTTCCAACTTGGTGACTCTCTGATGCTTGCGACCGCATGTAACGCCACGCCACTGGCAGAAGTGAATGGAACTATTCCAGGACTCCATAATATTGAGCTGATCACCTGTTATCTTGGCTTTGAACTGGAGTAAAGCTTGTTGATCAGTGTCATTGCCTCTAACAACAGAGGATGTTGTTGCTGTTGCTATACCAAGCGCGTTAAGACCCTGAAAGTTGAAGCATGAGAGAAGAACTATAGCTTCAACGCAAACAAGGAAAAAAGAGATGGAGGCTTGAGAATGCTTTTTTGTTAGCTCCATGGAACTGAAACAATTTCTTAATTGGTGAGATTGATTTGTATTTGAGTGTTTCGTTCATCAACAAGAAATATATTTATGGAACTCTGATATTAACATTTTCTATGTCCCGTCAATTGTTTTAAGTTTTCCAACTTAGAAAGTCATGTGTCTACGATTTCTATGGTTGATATATTCAACAACACATTAATTTCTTGTATAAGAAAATGATATAGGAGACCGAGACTTGTCAAGTAAACGCTGAGGAAAAGCTGGAGTATATAAACTCCACAATTGTGGAGGAAAAGATGGATTCCATGGAGACATCACAATTATGGACCCCCAATTAAATGTTTATGAAAGTAGAAAATGGGAGAAAAGAAAGTGAAGGGTGGCTAACGTAGTCACGTTGCTAACGTATACAATGAATCGTGTTATCATTCATCTGTCAGATATAAGTAACAAATGTTGTTTATTTATTACAGTGATTTTTCACAACATAGTCATAAAATATTAATTTATTGTAATAGAAAATGATAGAGGGAGATTACAAAAACGGTTGAGCCAGAGACGGAGTCAGGATTAAATATTAGCAAAAGTTGAAATATTGAACTTTTAAAGAAAAATACAATGGCTTATCAGGTATTTAAATTTAAAATTCAGAAGACAATGTCTAATTTGTCTAATATTTAAACTTACTATGACTTAAATTGTTATTAGACAAAAAATTTGAGAACTTTGGATTATCCTTCTTTAGTTCGGCCTTTAATTAAATATTTAATAAATTCTTGTATTTTTTTAATTTGAATATTTATTTTTACATTAACCAAAATATTATTAAACTAAACTCTATTGAATATATAATTTTTTTACAAGGTTAGGGTTCCTTTGGGCCCAACAGAACTCCGTCTAGGCCAATACCCTAAACCCTATTGACAATAATTGTTTAACGTTTACATAAGGTTACCTCGTCACTTCTTTGTCTAGGGTTATTTTCGAGACCGTATTAAGTGTCTACACGAGTTCTGTTCAATTTAAATTCGAGAAAACATTATCTTCATGAGTTGATCCTTCCGTGCAAGCTATTTACTTTAAGGTGCATATATGCTTTATGCTATCGTGAGATTGTAAGTATTACTACGCTTATTAGGTGACAATAAGGACAGTTTAGATACCCCTTTTAGAACCCGACCGCATATAATAGACCATAGGAGGCCATCTCAATTAGAGCCATGTTGAACCCTTACTGATTAATTAGTGAGGGAGTTTCTATGGTATTTAGGGCTTGGATAAATGGCGGTGAAACATTTTGAGTATGAAAATTGCTACAATTTAATGAGTTTTGGATGGTGAGGGAGTTTCAATTCTGTTTAGGACTTGGATGTAATAACGGTGAAGCTCTTGAGTAGAGTGGATGTTGAGTTTAGTGACAATCATAATTGAAAGAATGTTAAATGATAATGGCATATTAAAAAGGAGACACGCGGCTTCTAATAATCTAAAAAACTTAGGTTTTTTTGGAGAAGAAGACTCTAATACGTGACTTCATTATTTCTTAATGGTAGCTAAAAATAATGATCATAAAGGAAACAAATTAGAAGTTTGATGTCTAGTTAAAGAAAAAAATCCGATGACTATATTACAATTTTTAAAGATTTGGTTACTATTTATATAATTTACTCTATGATATTTGTATTTGATACTTATAACTTTTGTCCAACTTGATACTTAAAATTTTTTAAGATATCCAAATTGATACGTGTACTTTTTTTAAGATATCATAAATATAGATTTTATGTGAAAAATACTTAAAAAATCAAAAAAATCAATATATCAACGACGATATACAAGAAAGATTTTAAGAGACGTACAACAAACACTGAACAACACATTCAAGCAAACAATTTTAAATATATATTTATAGTTGTGTGATCAGTCAAAATTGATTGCAGTAATTTTTCACTTTTATTAATCAACATAGTCAGAACACATTAATTTATTGTAGAAATTGATAGAGGGAGACTACAAAAACTGTGGAGCCCCTCTCTTGACACTGATTGTTTTACGTCTAAATAAAGTTAAATTACCCTGTCATTTATTTGTGGAAAAAGAAGGGAAAAATGCAAGTTTTGATTTCCAAAGTCTTCTCATGGGTCAATACCCTTGAATGAAATGCAATTTTTTTATGGTCACTTTCGAGACAATGTTAAATGTCTGTCTTGTAATTAGTCTCCCACCAAAAAAAGCCCTGTTGAAGGACTTTTCTTTGATTGTGAAATCCGAAAAATTTTAGTAGACCTTGACAGCAACATATTTAGATTGCCTCTGCAAAGCGTTCTTTCAAAGCCTGAACTATTTGGTGATGAAGACTTTGCAGACAAGTTATCATGGAGAGGGAGACTTTTGAGTAAATGATGAGGAAAAGCTGAATTTAAAGGAGTCTACAAATATGGGTTTGAGAGAGAAAAATTAGGATTTTTTTGCATAAATTTTCAAAAATAATAATAATAATAAACGACGCTAAATAAAGACTTAACGGTTGATTGACCTAAAAGAGCAAAATTTGAAAGTTTAGAGATAAAATTGAAAATTGTAAACGTGGAGTAGCCAAAATAGAAACTCGTTGAAAGTTAGGTGACAATATGTAATTTACACAAATCATTATTATCCTATATGGTATTCTTAATACGCAGTCACAGAGATCGTGGTCACAAGTGTAAAAGGTGTTATGACCACAACAACCCCTTCTTCATCATTATCCACTTGCCAATCCTATGAACCAAACTAGGATCAAATATTGAAAATTGTCAAATTTAAAAGAATATTGAACTTAAAAATTGAGGACAAAACCTAATTTAACTAATATTTAAACTAAGAGAACCTGCGGGAGAAATAAACAATAGACACGCACGGTTATGCTTTCCGAGCTCTCATTTCTAATTACTTACTCAGTAATTATCTTTTCTGGTAATAACAAGCAACAAACTAAGAGAGTTTGAGTCCATCATTATTGTATTTAAAGAAATTATACAGTAGACATGCACCAGTTTGAACAAATTATTGGTGGAAAACTGGAACAACTCCATGTTTGTTTTCTTTTCTCATAGCAGAATGTAAACAAAAGAAAACAACAAGCACTTCTCAGACCCAAGCCTCACAAGTTCATCCATACGACACCTTAGATACCTGCAATTTATGAACAAAGACTTATGTAATCACACCATTTCAACAGAAACGTAATGTAATTGTGGCTTGAGTGATGAAATGATCGAGTAATTTGCTAAGATATGAAAGCATCATGACCTGATGATTGAGCAACACATGATGGGATCGAGTTAGACGAAGAAGCTTGTCCCTCGCAGAACAAAGCTTGGTAACAACTGTTGGGGAAATCAGGTTATTTCCCACACGAACGTAGTTTCAAAATTGACCTAAAATGTCAAGATCAAAACCACCAAAGGTTACACAGTGGATAAACCTGTCAAACTATTGAATATTGAAACACAATGGAAAAGAACCGAATAAAAACAATAAAGGAGAGAACACACCAAATTTACGAGGTTCGACGAGAATATCGTCTACTCCTCGGGCACCACACCGGATGATAACTTCACTATATCGCCAATATTACAACAAATGGAATTCTTTAGAATTCCCAAAGTGGGAGAATGAAGAATACAAGAGGAAGAGAGAACTTTTTTTTGGGATGATTTCTAATGGAAATACTTAGGCTTATTTATA